CTTCTTCGTTATAACTCGGATTTCGGTATTCTTTATATATCCGGAATCCTTGTCACGACCACTACAACTTTCTTAATAGATATCGGCTTTATCTAATATTTATTTTTGACACTTATTTTTATTCTTAATTAATTAAATCCTATTAATTAAACATAAAACACATAATTCACATAATAATCACATATTTCCTCTTTATTTCTTCAAAATGAGTTACAAAGGTTGACCTAGACTATTACGTCAATATTAATGCCTAGCCTAGAAACACGGGCGTTACATCATCCAAATGACCATTTCTCATACACCATCTAGAATACCCAAAATACCCTTAAGAGTCAAGCTTGGTCAAAGTCCATAAGTCAACTAAGTCAACCCAGCCGAGTTGACACAGTGTACGTACACGAGGGGGGGGGGGTGCTCCATATGTATGCGGGGCATACTCCTTTGTTGACTGCATCGGGATGGCTGACCTAGTACGTTGGGCGTACACATAGGTACACACGGCGTACTCCCAGGTTTTCCTCTTTTCCCTTTAAGTGCTAAAAACTTCGACTTAATGCGTCCAATTGCAGATCCATGGTCAAAATATCACTAGGAGTCATAAAGTTTCCAACTTTATGACCTTGCATGCTCAATAGGTGCTTAAAACACCAAAACTCCACATCTTAATGCATTAAGTCCTTCAATAACATGCATTGGATAAAACTAACCATTAAGACTCCATTTTTAGGGCTTAAGACCCTTCCTAAGGCCTGAAAGGACAACTCAACGGGTCAAGAACATGCTATGTTCATGAATCTCCATATTTGGGACAAAAAGGACCAAAAATCAACCCAACACAAGATCTAAATGAAACTTCACCAAGTTTAGGACTTTATACCTCCAAATGATGCCAAAAGGTAGTGAGATTCTGGATCTAAAGAGCTTCACTCCTCCAAGATGGTCTCCACTCCTTTCCTTCTTCTTTAAAGGCATAAAACGCACACACTCAAGCTTGGAAATGCTTCACAAGATGGATTAGGGTTGCGAGAACGTTCTAATAGGATGGAGGATGATGAAGTGAGGGGAAATGAGGCTATAATGGGGTTTAAATATGAGCCAAGCCCTAAAAATTAGGGTTTGCATGACTGGCACATAGACCCTGCGTACAGATGTATGCCTAGCGTACTAGGGTGCGCCCTAGTACGCTCAGCGTATACACGTACGCATGGCGTACTCCCCCAAAACCTAAAATTATGAAAATGCCACTAGGGCCCTTTTTGCACTCTTTCTTTTACTTAAGGTCCAAATTGCAATATTAATAAATCATAGGGTCAAAATTAGAAATACCTCATCATCGGGATGTTACAATTCTCCCCCACTCAAATTGGATTTCATCCTCAAAATCACTCCTTACCACCCACCCGGAAGCCAAACACTCCGGCTCACACCTCCTAACCGAGATCAAAACACTGATCCTTTACTGACGAACCAAAACGTTATCGCTATAAATCCGAAGCCCATAGCTTGCATGACCTCCACATAGGTAGAACCATTCCAAAAACACGTTCATGAGGGCCTCCTCATCCATTCATTGGCATCCCAAACAGAAAGAACCGTTGGCTACGACGAGCTCCCTGACCAACTACTTCCTGTTACAAGATAACTCACGCATTTCACGAACACAAATGCCCGATAGCCATTGTGAATCTGGACTCCTGACCAATCACTGCTGGTGAACCCTTCATCCGAGAACAAGGCAACTCCCAATACGAGCCTCAGCTAGATAATCACTGAAACAATTACGTATCATGCCAGCATATTCCACAACTTCCTAATTAATGAATCGAACTTCTAGTGAGATCCGCAGAGCTGGGGACTCTCGATACTAGAAACAACGAATCAATTCCATCAATATGTTTCCCGAGGCCGGAACCCATCAGATCTAGACTTCAAAATCCAATATCCAAGACTGATACCCCCATCAACCCTTAACTGCCCACTTTATCCACACCAGCTGGATCTTGAGTCTCCTAACTTCCAACTATGCACCGACCCCGTATGAACCCCTGGCAGAAGATGTAATCAACCATGGTCATCTCCGAACCGCCAATAAACCACCATGTAGCTATCTTAAACTAAAAAATTTGTCGGAATTACAACAACTGACAATGATCTTGATGCGAAACCGAAAGATTTAGTAGCTGCGCGGACGTCTTGAACTTGGAGAAATCCGACTGGGAACCAAACCTTTCTACAGGGTCTTCCTACTTTAGGTCCCACTCTCCCCCACTTAAAATATGCTAGAATATGACAACTTGATCCCAACCACTGGTATCAAAATACACGGAGAATCTGAACCCGCACGACATTCATAAACCCCAATATACATACAATCGGATGACAAAGATAATTAATTCATTCATACAAGCAATTTAATTAACCAATACCAACTAAGATACTTCCATTTAACTGATCATCCGAGATTACAACTGAACTTCAAAACATAAACGGGAAATACAGATAAATACCAATACCACCCTAAATGCTAAAAAGAATAACTGCCAACTCAACTCTCGTCCCTTGGTACTTCGGCTGTCCCATGACGATCGTCGGCCAGTTGCCAAGCTAAGGGTGTAGGATCCAACACCTTACCGAACACGAGAAAAGGGAAACTAGCTCTGAAGTGGCCCTCTTGGCTGCAATGTAAACAAACTTGCACACCCTGCCTGCAATCTCTGCCAAAATGGCCCTCCTCGCCACACCTGCGACATACAAGAGATCTGCGCCTCCTTCCAACCGATCCTGAACTCTGGCCGACGGACTTGAACCGCTTTTCCGTCGCCTACGACTGCCATGGGGCCTGACTATGCTCCCTCGCCTGGAGCTCCATCTCAATCTCCCGCCGCTTAGCGGCCTCTTGCAAATCCACCAGTGAACCATAGCATTGGGTAGACACAAACTGCAGAATATCCGACTTGAGCATGCCTAAATACCGGGTCATATGATCTTGCTCAGAAGTATCAAACTAAGGGCAAAACATAACTCTCTCTGTGAATATCTTGGTGATCTCCGTCACCGACTCAGTCCCCTATCTCAGATCTAAATACTCTTGGGCCAGCCTCTCTTGCTCCACCAATGGAACATATCTCGAGTGGAACATCCCAGAGAACTGCTCCCATGATATTGCAGCTCGCTGCTCTAGGGTGTATGAACTAGTTGTTGGATAAGGTGTCTAAGTCCGTAACTATATTTGGTATGTACTTGACCCGACTCGGCATGATCCATTTGGGCTGCACTTCACCGAAACAATTTGTATGGATAATCTTTTGAGAATAGTATATTTATGATTTATTAATATATTATAAGTTATAATATATTAATATGAAATCATATTATTTAATTAGTATTGATCAAGAATTAATTTAGTGATCAAAAGAAACTAATTAAATATGGACTCTTGTATATATAGAATGGGCCAATGTTCATTTAGGATGGGCTAAGCTTGCATGGATAGTCCATGGAGTTTTTAACCCATGGATCCTATGGAAATGAAAGGTCATGGGTATTAGGGTTTACATGGATGTAACCCTAATCCACCATACTATATAAAGAGGTCTTTGGCACATGAAATGACACTAGTGTGTGAGTGAACAAGAGTGGGCCGATTTCTACAAGTGCTTTCTATTCTCTCAAGCTTTCCAAGGTGTTTTGGTGATTTGTGATGCCACTTGAGGCATCCACATTATTGGTGCTAGGCTCTCAAGACTCCAAGCAATCAACCACAAGAAAGATATGTTATTCTACTAAGCTTTTATATTACAAGTACCCCATAACATGCTAGTTAGGTTGAGAACCTTGGAAATTGAATATTTGCATGTATAATAGAGAAAACATAGATCCAAGGTTTCTAGGGTTGCATGTACACCATAGGAGTGTTAGAATGCTCAAAACCCATCAGTGGTATCAGATCCTAGGTTTGTTTTCATTATACTTGATGCAAAATTCTTGAAAAAGTCGAAAAACTGTTCACTGTTCAGTGGACTCTACGAGTCCATGGGGGGACTCGGCGAGTCCAAGTGTAAACTCATCCTACTCGTCGAGTAGGTTCTTGCACTCGGCGAGTAGGAGGTCCTATGTTCAGATTTTCGAGTTTTGCTGCTGGAAATGGACTAGAATCATTACCCTAAACTGTTTTGGACTTATAAAACCTGTTTTTGGTGTGGTAATGATTATGCTAATCCATTTTCAATGGTTATTATCAAATTTTCATGTTTTATATATGTTTATATGATTCTTGAAATTGTTGATATGAATGTTCATACTTATGAGTTTTAGAAGATCATAGCAATTATTTGCCAATTGTTTGTTAGTGTAATTCTTGATCTAAATGCCAATTAATGGACTCCATAACTTGTCCTCAAGTTATGGACACTACTAGAAAACAACCCTTTAATGACGCGCAAACAATGACACGCGTTGATAGAGGACGCGCATTTGTGCGTGCCCTAAAAAATAATGTCAGTTTTGCAAAATTTGAAGGATAGAGGACACGCATTTGTGCGTGCCCTAAAATTAGTGTCAGAAAAAGAAAAAAAAAGAAATGCGGAGGGCGCCTTTCATAAAATGTGTGTCGCTTTATAATTTTTTAATGAAACACGCGTTTTTTAAGGCGGGATTTGACCCGCCTGTTGGATCCCAAAAATCAAAACCCCCCGCCTCTTCCAATTAGCAAGAAAAAGCCCTAGGGACTTCGTCTTCATAGCAGCATCTTACCACCACCCAACCTCCGATCTCGCACCGCCAAGTGTCTCCGACCATCTTCTCCAACCATTCTTTCCTGTCGCACTACACCGATAACAAAACCCCCATCATGATATGCTAATGTTTGTATTTCTGTCAATCGAGATCAAATCATTCATGTCACAGGTGCTCATGCTTCACGTTCGTATGATAAAACCCTAACCGTAAAAACCATCAATCTCTAGGTCGAGAGCAACGATTCCATCAAGAATGTCAAATACATGATCCAGGTTCCTCTTTCTCCTCTATTCTTACCTCTAATTTTGATTTTGAAACTTCTCATCTTCTCCTCTATAAAAACCCTAACCGGAAAAATCATACGGGTTTCAATTGTGATTTCCTCCTCCATACTCGATCCCTACTTCTACTCTCTCCGCATCTCAGGTAGGATCCGTTCTTTCTCCCTTTTTCTCCTTCTTTTTCTTTGTTTTCTCAGGTACGACATCATTCTCCCCTACTTTTCTACTTGTGCATCCCATTCTGATACTTTTCTACTTAATACAATCATCGGCGATTCAAAACCATCAAACGCTTCAGCATCTATCGTATTCGGGTAATTCATCCCAATCCATTATCCCCTTTCATTTTTCATTAAAAAAACCCTAATTGACTTGGCAAGTTCATGAACCAGATGTAGCACATCCCAAATTGGGGATTTAACCAAACCCGATAGAGCCATTGACGGAATATTTGGATTCGGTCAACAAGGACTCTCTGTAATCGCGCATCTTTCTTCACAAGGGATCGCTCCAGATGCTTTCTCTCATTGTCTCGTCGGAAACGGTGGTGGTGGGATTTTGGTTCTAGGTCAGATAATCGAGCCAACCATGGTGTATACTCTATTGATCCAGTCACAGTAAGTTCTGTTTCGCTTATCTATTATCATAAAACATTAACAATGTTTTGATGATTTTAAGACCCCAAGACTATCTTCTTCAACAGAACTCGATGGTAATTCTATTTTGTATATTTACTTCTCCACAACAGATGTGGGACTAAACTTCTATGACTCACAACATCGCTTTGAGCACTCATAACTTCTGTTGGTTCTTTTGAGTTCACTTCCACATGCACCAAAGACTTTTCAGTGTCGCGCATTACAGGGACTGCTGTTTCTATTTATACCCTTGTCCCTGGAAATTCAATTTTGTATATTTACTTCTCCTTTTGATTTCAGGATCTTCTGATTTTGGCTTGCAGTCATGCTCCTGCACCAAGTCAAGCAGTATATTCTGCTTCAAAGTTTGCTTTAAATGGCCACTTTCATTCCTTGCGATCTGAGGTACACCAACTTTATATTAACTTTTTTTTTAAAATAAAAAATCAAAAAGTTTATAATTATGAGAATCACACTTGTTATTTCAGTTTTACCAAAAGGGAATCATGGTAAAGAAATGAAAGTTGATTTGTTCTTTTTAATAAACAAATCTGTAGTTATTAAACTCAATTATGAAATTTGGTGATGTAGGCATATAGTCCCCTACATAAGGAAATATGGAAAGCATCCTGTTTCTGGAATTCCTCTTAAACAAGAAGATCTCATCCCACTAACATTTCACCAAACCTCTGAAGGTATCATTCCATTATACATATTATTTCTTTATAATAAAATTCTTGATATTCCTCATCTTTTTAAAAAAAACCCTTTTTTCTATATTCTAGGGGAGTATCATTGCCCTATATTAAACAAGGTTTTCACAGAGTTCACACACATTGTTGCCATAAAGACAACCGAAAATGTCTACTCCTACGAGGTTGATTCTTTTCTTCCTATTTTAATCATTAAACAATATATACTTCTTTATAAATTATAAACACCCATTTCCATATATTTCTCAATAGGCAATCAAAGAATTAAACCTCAAAACCAAAAACTGGAAAGAACTTCTAACCGATGAACCCTTCACAAGGCAAGACATCATCACAATTCAGGTAACATAACATGACTTTTAATTTCATACATAAAGGAAAAAATAGTCATTTCATACATGTCTTTGTAGAATCCAAACACACTCGACAACAAAGCCCTGGTGGATTTCGACCATGTCAAAAAAAGCCTAAAACTTGACGATGAAGGTATTTAATTAATCATTTTCCCTTTTAAATTTTTAATATTCCACCAATTTAATGCAAATATTGATTCTTGAAATTACCTGTTAGAAATCAAGAAAATGGAATCAGATCCAAGCTACAACATAAATGTAAGAGGTGACATAAAGAAAATGCAGTGAACTCTTTATTCCTCTTTGTATTTCTGTTTTTGTCCCCCCACCCCACCCACCAAATACCTTATAACTTAAGTTAAACAGCAAACTGCCTTGTAAATTTTTACCCCTCTATACTGTGTAACGAATTTACAGTGTATGCGAGTATGTGCTTGTTTGTATGAATCATATCACATATCATGTTCCATCACCTGTTGCTAAAATAATACCTGATATTTATTATAAAGGGAAAAACTCCAACAAACTATGCCCATTGTTTCAGATTAGGTCCTTATGGGTTGGCAATAACAGGTTTACCGGTTAAGTCAACTTTAAAATGTTGACTGCTATAGCCATAAAAATAGTTGTTTAAGGACCTAATGTGGACAAAAAAAGTTTCCTGACTAATCTGGGACAATAAGTATAGTTTGGTGGAGTTTTTCCGACTTTACCCCTGTTATAAATTCAATGACATGTTGATTATTTTGTACAGTAGATAGATAAAATCTGATGAATACTAGGATATTTGTGTCTAGGATATTTGTTTTTTAGAATCTTTATGATTTGTATTTAGTTTAATCTTTTATCCGGATGAAATTATCCTTGAATAGGGCTTATAAATGATCAACATTTTTGGTAATACATGATATATTTGCCTGTATTAAAATCTTGATGCAATGGCATGTTGTGAAATTGTTTTTAATTGGATACTCTTAATGTTCCTGTTCCTTTTTGTTGATTCAGGTAACAATCTTGTTGAATTAGAGGTGAAGAATTCACGGCTTTCTGTTGACAATATGAATCAAATGTTAATGGTAATAAGTTTAACACTTGAGTCCATACGGTTAGATGATAAGGAACTAACACAGTTGAATAAGTCCTTCCATAATCTTCATGTTCTTAACTTGATAGATGTTAGAGGACTTAAACTACCCACAATTCACCTTCTCCACCTAAAAACATGTCACTGGACTATAACAGATGCTCCACTATTTCGAACTTTAGATTTACTAGGTGTGACTAAAGGGCCTTTTGGAAGATACAAATTTACCCTACAGAATTTGTTCAATATTTTCCCCAACATGACTTCTTTATGTTTTCGGTCAAGGGCATGGTCGGGATTTCAGGTGAGGAATAGCATATTTGGGATTGGGATGGAAGGATTGAAAACTTTTTGTGGTTATCTGATGATAGTTGACCTTTCGTTGACTTTATCCTCGGTTACTTGTGTGTTGGACCAATGCCATAACTTGGTAGATGTCTCTTTACTTATCCACCATAAAAAAAGTTATGTATCAAAAGCTTTTATGCGGACATGCATGCCTATGTCCAATGCGTGTCGTAAATTCAAGAAATAGCAATGTACTCTCCATTAAAAAAGTTATAAATTATATTCTTTGAAAATTTTGCTAGATTCGTAGGTTTAAAAGTAGAATGTCCTAATAAGAATTAATTTTAAAAGTAGAATGTGAAAATGACAAGTGATTTTGTGTTGTGTTTACAGGGTTGATGAAAGCGAATAGCTATGGAGTTAGAAGAGGAAAAGAAAGCTCAAGCTGGAAGAGATAAGATGCTGCAAATGCAAGTGTTGCATTCTTCATTTCAATTGTTAGTATGAAACACAGAGTAGATTAGATGAATGCAAATTTATATATTGTAAGAAATAGAATTGTATGACATTACATTTTATGCAATGGATTGTATTTTTTGTATATGGTATTTTATTTCTATTATGAGACATTAAATGCAAATTTAATTTAAAAATTAATAAATATATAAATATATTTTTTTAAACATTTAAATTTACGATACGCAAAATATGTGTCATCTTCATTTATGACATGGCCTTTCTTGACAGGGGTTTTAATGATACACATTGCGTGTCATAAATGCGAGTTGTAAATGCGCGTCGTCCATAGACGACGCGCAAAAACGTGTCGTCTCTCGTTATGACAGGGCCTTCCTTTACGCGCATTTGCGTGTCGTCTGAGCGTTTTACGACACACATTGCGCGTCGTAAAAGGCTGTTTTTCTAGTAGTAGGAATTCCAAAAGTCTTTTCTTTAAAACCATTAAAACTCATAAGTTATAGAAATGAAAAGTTTTTGAATAGTTTCAAAACTTTCCCTCAAGTTTTGGAATTTGTAAAGTCTCACACACACTTTAATTCCAAACCCTAGAGTTTTAAAAGTTAAGATTCAACCCTTATACTTTATAGTATTTTAAGTTAATAATATATATATGTATAAGATCAAGTCAGTCTTGCCGTTAGTAGGCCTCATTCACGAAGCCGGTCTATAAGGGGGGGGGGGTATAAGGTTGTTGCCTATAAAATGGCAGCTTAATGGGTGTCCACTCTCACCCACCGCTTCCTTGACTGGTGGAGGGTCGTTAGCCGAATGGGTAGGACAAAGACTATAATCCTCATTAAAAGTATAATGATTATAAAGTAACTAAATGTTTTATAAATTCCCAATATTAGTTACTTTAGGAAAATGTGACAATGGTGCTAACCCATGAAATTACACTTTGTACCTTACCAAGTCGTTGGTGGAGCGTGTGTGGGTAAGCAGCACACCAATATGGACTAGTAAGAGTGGTAAAGGGTGACTTAATGTTTATCATAGATCGGTGGAGCGCGTGTGGGTAACCAGAACATTGATTAGGTGATAAAGATTAAGGGTACCAAGTTAATTTGCATGGTTATTCACACCTTGTTTGTGATCCTTGGCATCCCAGTCACAAACTTGAGAGGGCACAATCGAGATTTAAACATGCCATTGAAAAGTTCAATGAATCTCAAAAGATCTAGGAGTTTCAATCCAATTAAAACCTAATAATTTATTTCGTTTTTCATGGTGGAAATTGGTGAATCGTCATTCACCTACCTTCAAATATTTCATAGCTTGGATTACGACATCCCTCTTCCAAGTTATGAAGTATTGTGTTGGGTCCTAGCCTTAATATTACATTTGGGTGTCTTATTAAGGAGTCTATATCTAATCTAAACTTGTCTTTCTTCTTTTCAGATGTCTTCCAACAATGCTGCTTCTGGCTCAAACCCTACCGGCTCCTTCTCTCTCATGAATCTTTGTGGGAGAGTCATCTTTGATGGTTCAATTTTTTAATGATTGGATCAGGAACATCAGGATGGCCACGCGTTACGAGGACAAGGAATATGTCCTCAACAAGGAGCTGAAAGAAATTGATGAGTCTACTGGTACTCCACAGGAGATCGCTGACTTCAGGACTCATGAGAGAGATGCTACCAAGGTGGCATGTATCATGTTGGCCACAATGACAACTGAACTCCAGAAGTCCTATGAGGACTTTTACCCTTTTGAGATGCACATGGACCTGATGGACAGATACCATCAGAGTGCTCGTCAAGAGAGGTATGAAATCATCTCTTCCATGATAACAACCCGAATGAAGGATGGTGAACCCATCACGGGCCACATGCAGAAAATGCAAAGGTTTGTGGACCGTTTGCTGAAGTTGAATGTGAACTTCCCCGAGGAGTTGGTTATTGATATCATATTGCACTCCTTACCTACTTGTTATGATCAGTTCCGAATGACCTATCACATGAAGAAGGAGGAGGTCACACTCAGCAAGTTTCAAGGACTTTTGAAGACCGTCGAAAGTGGTCTCAAAGGTAAATCAGTTGTTACTACTCCTACTCCTAACTCCGCCCCTGTTCTGGAAATCAGGCAAAGTAGGGGGAAAAAGAGGAAAACCCCTTCGAAGGGTACCAAGGGAAAGTCTCTTGATGGATCCTCTTCGAGTGGAACCAAAGGTGGTTCTGTCACTCCTTCTTCCAACCCAAAGGAAGTTGAATGCTTCTATTGTCATGATAAGGGGCACTGGAAACGAAACTGCCCCAAGTACCTGCAAGATGTTAAGGATGGGAAGGTCAAACCTACCCATGTAGGTATTTACACTATATTGTCTAATAACTCACCGCATACTAATTCTTGGGTCCTTGATATAGGTTGTGATATTCATATATGTTCTGATTTGCAGGGCCTAAGAAGAAGTGAGGACGTGGAGCACGGAAAGGTAAACTTGATCATGAGGAATAGGAAAGCTTCACCTGTCACCAAGATTGAAGTTTATTCTTTGTTTCTAAGTAGTGGGTTAATGTTAGATTTGAATAAGTGTTGTTACTCGTCTGAAATGGCGAGAAATATTATTTCTTTTCACGGTTTGTACAAACAAGGGTTTACTTTTTCATTTGATAATGAATGTGGTGGTATTAATACTTTTTATAATAATGTTCTTTATTTTAAAGCATTACCTTGTGATGGTGTATATGAAACTTGTTGGATAAGGTGTCTAAGTCCATAACTATATTTAGCATGTACTTGACCCGGCTTGGCATGTTCCATTTGGGTTGCATCGACATCTCAACTGTTGGATAGACAAAATGAGAAAAGGACACTTACGATTTGTTAATATATTATAAGTTCTAATATATTAATATGAAATAATAGTATTTATTAGTATTGATCAAGAATTAATTTTGTGATAAAAAAAACTAATTAAATATATGGGGATTGATTTGTAAATCATTCATTCTTATATAGTGGGCTTATGGTTCATGATTCACTAGATTGGGCTAGGACCCATTGGGTGCTCCATGGATGTGAAAGGTTTTGAGCATTCTAACACTCCTAAGGTGTACATGCAACCCTAGAAACCTTGGATCTATGTTTTACTAAGATACATGCAAATTTGATTTTCCAAGGTTCTTAACCTAACTAGCATGGCATGGGGAACTTTGAAACACAAAAGCTAGTAGAAGAACATACCTTTTTGTTGCTTGGATTCCTTGAGAACTTTGTGAGCCTAGCACCTCAAGTGTGATGCCTCAAATGTTTCACACAACACCACAACACTTGGAATAACTTTGAGAAAAGTCCACACTCACTCAAAATCGGCTAGCCCTCTTGTTCTACACACAGTGCCGATTTTGGTAGCCCATGGGGTCCTTTTATAGTTGTGTCACAAGTAGGGTTACACCAT